CGAAATAAAAACGTCACTTTCGTTTGAGTAGCAACGTCTCTCGGTAGAACTCGAGTCGCGGTACTATAAATGAGATCTGTAATTATTAGGTACGAGTATTAGAAACCTGCGTGCAATAAAGACGAGCGATAGAGAGGCCACGCCGGGCAGATAACAGTCATTCCGGTTAAACAGTTTCGCAACGGCTCGGAGCAACGATTTTCCGAAGCCTGTTAGATAAATCCGCGCGGTGATCTAATCCTCCAGACTTTCTTGAACGCGAGCTCGCGCTATCATCGCGGAAGAGCCGATGGGTTGGGCGTTCCCTGCATTCTTACGATACTTTCGCGCGCGAAACGATTTAGTTTCAATCTAAGCGATCCACGTGCCGATTAGAGCGACTGTTATGCGCGTTCGCTGCTTTCGCGAGAGGTACCCGTTTGGTTTCTTTGCTCTGCAGCGAAAGATTCGTTGAATTTTCGAAGAGAGAAATATCGATATAATTATGTCTGGCACTGGTTTGAATTGATAATTCGTCTTCGTTGAATGTGTTCAATGTTTCAACGTGTTGATGTCTATTTGTATCGGTTAGGAGAAAAGAAAATCTGTTTGAAATAAATTCTACCTTAAATAGCATTTCAGTAACGATGCCATGAGAAAATGGTCCATACTAAAATCTGGTGAAAAAATTGACTCGAAAATTCCATATAAGATTCTATATAAATTGTCGAATAAAATCACCCTTTTGTTAAATACTTTTCTTACCAGAAAATTATAATGTCGACACGTTTACGTGAAAGTAACCGATGCTACCTGGCCAAAACTACAATTCATTCGTATTAGACACTCGTATTAGTCATCCTTGGACGATCGAGTGTCGAAAAGGTGTCTTCTCGACGAACAGGAAAATAAGGCACTCGAGGATAGGTGGACTCGGTTGAAATCACAGATGGCAAGATTGAAAGGAACTCCTGGAGTGGAGTGTGATATCGTATCACTGATACGTGCAGCCATCGAAGGGAAAGGATGGAGAAGGATCAGGTTCAGCGGGTGTCGCGCTACGAAAGACGCGCCGGAAGTTCAAAGAACGAACGGCGATAAAGCCCGAAGCCTTGTTGATCCCGGGCACAAAAGACACTCGAGTAGCCCGTACTTAAAACCACCTCCGACACCAGCCACAATCCCTCCAAACGTGTTAACGGTGCCGAAACTCTCCGATGAGAAGTCAGGGTCGACGATTCCAGAGGTTTCAAAAGCGTTGCATTCTTTCCTCGTCGAATCCCAAGGGCACGCAAGCCTAACACAGTGTAAATTAGCGAGTTGCCGACGAGAACTCACCGATTGTGAGCTCGTTCCATCCAGACTCGAAGATGAATGGAGATTATTAAGTGGATATGCGAGATTCGAATTATTCTCGATGGGAAATCTTTTGTTGACGAAATTTCTTCGTTACTTATACGGTCGTGTACTAATAAACTAAATAACGAGAGGCTACCCATGTAGAGTTATTAGGTGTCCCCATAAGAAACGCTATTACGAAATTCTTCTTTTTCATCATGTTTGTATCCGCCATTGCTTGTATTTATCCTTCCAACGATTTCTTCATCCTTGGATTCGGTATTATTGTTTGTAAATGAGTCTCTTGCGTCACTCCCCTCATACTTTTTATAATCCGGTATATTTATCAACAACGAGGAAACGTTACCAACGATATGCGTTTCATCAGTGGTCCGATAATCGAGGCTCTGTTGCATAAATTTAATAGAAATCGCATAATTCCTATCGACTTGTTCAAATACGCTACCACCGCGACATATTTAAGAACGATGAGTCACGGAATTAATTTTAATAATAGTTAGAGAAACTTTCGGAAAGGTTAGTCGAACAAAATGCCACCTTCGATGAAATTACTTTGCCAAAACTCGCGTGTAATTAATTCTTCTTAGAAGAACTGAAATAAATTCTCCGAACGACCTAATACTTCAACGACGACAGCTTAGCGAACATCGTACGAGCGATTTGCAAATTGCAAGTCGGTGTGTTTTGTAAACACGACGACGGTGTATGCGTCTCGCGGACAGCGCGTTCGAACGCCATAAACAAAGGAATTTTTCTTGGCTCCTCGGCTGGATCTTATTAAAAGCGGGCCGCTGCTGGCTTCCGGTCAGGCAACGCATAATTACACGGGTCCGTAAGTCGGTAGGCAAAGTACGATTCCAGATAAGCAATTAAACGAACTACTGGCAAGAGTCGCGGTGACTCACGTACCGGTAAACGAGGTGTCAAAGCACTTTTGCCTTCGCGTTCTCCGTTTCGCGGCGCGCGTAGCCTAATTTCGAGCCGCGACACGTAACGACTGTAACACTCGAAAACAAAAATATTCGGAAGCGTCGCGAAAGTATTCGCGTTACGTTATTTAACGGTCTGGAAAATCGTGAACAATAAAGTTAAATGTCTGCACACCGATAGAGGAAACGGACATTCTATTAATTCGCGTCACTTGAAATTCTACTTTATACGCTACATACTTAGAAAATTGATATTTCAAAACATATTTTGTCGTTTTTATCTTCGTTCCTACGATACAAATTTGCGATGGTCCAGCTCCAGGAGTTTATTATTTTCGTCAGTACTCGATACTAGAAACGCAAAATTTAGTTTTCGATAAGTACAGACAAGTAGAATCGAATGCGTATGGTAGAGTAGTATAGAACAGTCCTCGCAGGGAATACGGACCGTACAGGTCAGACATCTCGGTCAGCCTTCCCTGCACATGCGGTCGAACGAAAATCGATCCACGCTGACTACATCTCCCATATTTCGTTGGTTCGCGGAACCGTCTTCTCGTTTGATCCATAGTTCAGCGAATTATTTCTCCGCTAATTATTTTTATGCCCGACAACATTTCCACTGCCTTCGTATTCTCTCGACACACCCTCAGTTATCAGACTCGCTTCTGAACCGTATCGACAGTACGGTATATTTGCTTTTTCCCCCCAAGAATATTTACAGCGCATTGTTTGCTGGGCGATGTATAAAAAGTGCGCGTGTTTTTCTTCAAAGATTCAAGGAAATCGCGAATCGGTCGAAAACACGGGAGTTTCAGCTTCGAAACATAATAAACGTTTCAGAAAAATAGCTCGAGAGCCACGGGATGTCAGCGTCTGCCGGGCACGAGTGATTCACGTTTGCGTCGTTTTGCTATTACAGCGAGTCAGCAGCGATCGTTGGTCGGTGACAGGCACATGGAAGTAGTTTAATCGGTTAATCAGGGTCAGAGTGTCATCGGAACTGTATCGTTGTCATTAGAGCCCCGGGAGCTGCGCATAAATAAAAAATGAATTATGGTTACATTGACCCAATTGGTCGCCTTCCGTGGAGGTACCCGTGCCAGGGGAAATAATTGTTCGTTGAACGGTAAATAATTGAAACGTTTCACGTTCGAGCGACATTTGTTTTCTGTGTGTGTACGTGCGATAATTGGTTCCTCGATAAGGATTAAAAGCGTCGAATTCCGTCTGGCTCTCTGGGGTCATCGACAGGTCAACGCGTGTAAATGAAATTGTGATCCGGAGTCGTAGGGAATTGTGATACGATAATACGATATCGGTTGAACGTACTCGACTCGATTTTGGTGTATGTTTTCTACATTTTTGGGAGAATCGTTTTATTTTCATTCGAATCTTGTTATTACTCGAACACTTAGAGATAAGTTAGACATCGTCGACGATAACAGAAATATATTTTTTCAATGCTCGTACATGGTATATTTTTATGAAAACATGCCTGAATGAAAATATGACTTACTCTTTCTATCAAAGAACAAGTAATTTAATTTACAAGTCGGCATTTGGGGAAATTTCGCTTACCGATTGGAATTTTCCCCGTGTTGTATAAAATCGTACATCCATATCAAATTAGCGAAATAAATGTTATCTGACTCGCTGTGTATCGCGTCTCGATGACACGAAATTGGTCATCGGTGATTTCATTCGTTACACTGAAAATGCCAACGACACTTAAAACGCTCTCCAATCTTCGCATGCATAACAAAGTATACGATCACAGCAAACGTTTAGGCATGCACACTAACCAACGTGACACACTTACGGCTGAAAGAAGTACTAAACAAATCCTACGTGCGAATCGGTTTGCTCTGCATCGTGGTATCGTAATCTCGTTGCATCGACGTTATCGTGGGCGCTGTCACCGAAACACTGAGAACAGTGCCGAGTCTGTTTCCAAAAACGGTGATCCACGCGGAGGATAAACTTCGCGGCACAGCGCTGCTTTTGTTCGACGAAAAGGTAAGCAGGAAACCAAACTGTGCGCAAACATTTGACTACCGAACAGACGCTCGAGGTATAAATGTAATTGTTCATCACTGAAACGGATCAGTTAAGGAAATTCTAATTCAAAATGAGGTACATGATGAAACAGACACCGCTTTTAACTAATACAAGAAACTTTCGGCTTTTTTTTTTTTTTTTTTTTTTTTGAGTTAAATAAAATTATTATTACTTTAGAAAAGAGATTCTTGGCGCCGAAGTGAACATTTCCACCGAGTTAATTACTCTGTAAATTTGTAAACATCGTAAAATCTACAAATATTCTACCGCAGGCACAGGTTCCTCTACAACTCCACTAACAGGCCAAACAATTCTCCATGAAGCACGGGACATTCGCGATCCGTGAAACTCTCGAACGACAGAATCACGAGACAAACTCGAAAAAAGTAAATAAACAAAAATCTCATGCAACTCGAGATTTCGAGAGCGTAGACGGATGCAGTCGAAGCCAGAAACCCCGTCCGGGGTCGAGGATGCTGAAAATGGCGAAAACAAAGGTCCAGCAGGCAAAGAACGCGAAACAACTCTCGGCAGGTTGCCCGACCGAAATGATAAAGAGAAGGGAAAAAATGAAAGAGAAAATAAAGGGAAAAAAACAAACACACACGCACACGGCACACCAGCACCGCAACGAGGAAACAATGACGATGAATCTCTTGCGAGTCTGTTTACCTGCTGCACGTACCACTGCGTGGAACTCTGGCTCTTCCTGTGGCTGCTGGGCTTGCAGGGACCGCAGAGAAGCAGGGGCGCCAGTTTGTTAACCCCCTTGACGCTGACCGACGCCGGGGGCGACGCTGGGCTCAGCCCGTCATCCCCCAACACGGGCCACAGCATCCACGTCTGAATGTCCGCGGAACTTCCCCGTCTTCCGTCGCTTCGATTCTGCCTGTGCAATTTTTCTCGTGATTTTTTCGGACGGACAAAACTATTCGCGCAGCGATACCTCGCTACAGGTATCGAAAGACGTATCAAAAGAATCCTTGAGATTGTTCGAGGGGTGATTTCTCGAGTAGTTCGATCCGCACCTTTCCGTTTAACCAGGTTTCGAGGAATGGAGGTGGACCCCCTTTAGCGAGAGTTAGATTTGCCCAATGAATATTTATTTCAAGTGTCAACGACTGGGTGGGTTCTGGGTTCTTGCAAGCACTTTAGTTTATTTTAGTCGTCGGGGAAATAATTGATATGCTCACATTTCTGAGTCGACAGCATTAGGAGTATTAATTAATATTCTCTGTCACGATAACAACCACTTTACCTTCGACTAGAAATTTATATACTCGACGGATACCGAAAAATGATTTGAAAATTTAATTTCTGAAGCAATAACGACATAAGTACTTAGCATTAGTAGTACCCACTCTCTATCGTAGAAATAGTAATTGAATTGTCCCTGTATCGATTTACCTCCGAAGGATCAAAGGGTTGGCGAGCGGTCGCGATCGACCCTTCATTAGGTCGACGGTCGACGTTGAAAGGTCGAAGGAGCAAACGACGGAAAACGCTCCCGGCTAAAGAGGATGCGACTCCTCCGTGGGCGGAATTGCACTTCCGACCATTAGAGTTCTGCCCTCGAAACGTGTTTCATGTATTTTCTAAATGTCGTCCAACCCCGTGACTTTTAGCCGTGACTTTTCAATTAGCGCAATAAGAACTGTTTGCGCTACAAGCAATTACCCTAGTTCGCAGGTGACTCCGATGAACTCCGACCTTTTTTTTTTTTTTTATTTTCAGAAACAATACTATTAAATTATTTGATACTGAAACTAACTGTAACGTTAAGATAATACAAATATTTTCAATTAAATAAATTAATCGTAGATCAATAAGAGGCTTGCATACTCCCTAACTGCGGTTAATATGCGTAATTACAGGAGTGAGAATTTCGAGAACGTAAAATTTCTCAACCTAAAAATACGTTCGAATCGATAAGGTATTTATTTATGCAAAACCTTCTCGAATTAATTTACCTATCAGTGAAGGAAATCGTGAAACACAAAGAAAAAATTCGATCCCGTATTTATAAACTCGTTTCCAGTGAGTCAGAGGCGTACGCAAAGTCTGAGAACGTTCTTTTCCAATTAATATTTATCGTACTGATCTGCGACGCATGACGGTCAGCTCATTCCGCGATTTCCCACGTGTCGATTCATTGCGCAGCGGTAATATAATATTATAACGCGAACGGTACTATACTACAATTCCTAGGAACCCAATCCACGTTACACTGAAACGATATACAAGGCGATTAAGAAAAGGAATCGAAGTATTCCAGATTTCCATTCATTTATTTGCGAATACGATTTGTCGAGTGTTTCTTTTAGCAATTCATGTTCGAAATTCGATCTGTCGAATATTTTGTGAATATTCGATGAATTATCAAATTTTATTTTTGAGCAACAAGACTCGTGTGTTGCAAGACTGAATATGCAATTACGATGAACGAAAGAGCTCGCGAGGGCGACAAACTAATTAAAACATCACCTGCTCGAGCGATCTTATCGGTCAGCTAAGTGGTGTTCTAAATTACGCAATGCGTTATACAGGGTGAGTCACTGAATACCTGTAAGCGCCCCTTGGGCTTGATATACAAATACAAACAAATGCTATGCACGGCTCGACGTTATTACGCGAATATAAAGAATGTTCCCATAAATACATGAATAAATGTCCGCGATATCAAGTTCAGACAGATATACTCGCGGATGTTGGCTCCGTGATAAAAACCGAAACTTGACTTGATACGACCCTAAAATATGAAAACGATCGAACGGAATCCTGGAGTCTCGATAAAAGTGTCGATGCCCGTCGACGCCTAGCACCGATAAAACGAACGCCCCGTCACCGCTTGCCACCACCAACACACAGTCGTGCTGCACAACCTCCCTGTGCAATCATTTTCCACGCACTCTTCTGACTTTTCCAAATATTAATGTAATACAAAATGTAAATACAAGACGTTTAATTGTGTTTCACGCCATAATAAATTATGTCTCGAAATATCGGGCGAATTGTCAACGTAAACGGTGCATTTCGCCATTTAAAAAAACCAAAAGTAATTTTACTAGAAAAGATTTTTCTCAGTTTCGAAGAAATATTTGTTTTAAAGTGTCCGTGGGCCCCTCATTCGAGTATCGGTTACCTTGAAAATTTAACGTATTAGCCAACATGGTAATTAAAATTAGAAAACGATAAAAAATGGTGTACTTCTTTATCTGAAGAATCTAAAATTAATTCAACGAACAAAATTCTTCCCATTTTCGAGAGCCTCGATGGTCTAGTGTAGATCTAAGATGCCTAGCACTTCAATTCCGAGGGAGGAAGCTACTGTATCGACGACGATCAAAGAAAACCGTTTTCTATCGTTTACGGAAGCGAACTGGAACTGGAGAATCTGTCAATTAACGGACATGCAGGTTACGCGCACAATCCTATCTTTCTTATCTCGGCGCGGTGTCTGCCGGAGACCGGGCAATCCGAATGCATTATGCAATGGCGGGTATTGTTCATAAAGGGATCCAGTGGACCAGTCCGTGGCAGGAAGTGTGCTCCGGGCTGCCTGCGCGTTTCATGCGAGCATGAATCATTTGGCGGCTCGAATGACTCGGTTGTTACGTTATTTTCTTATTTAACGCTGGCCGGTGCGTGCCTCAGCGGTGTTCCGTTCCATTATTCTTTCGACGATTCTTGCAACGAAATTCGATTCGCTTTGAAATTTGTCCATATTTCGATATCTATTGCTTCTGGTAACTAAGAGCTACATTCTGACAATAGTCTTACGAAATTCAATTTGCTTTGAAATTTTGTCTGTTTTCAAATTCGATTCGCTTTGAAATTCGATTCGCTTTGAAATTCGGTTCGCGTTGAAATTTTTCCATATTTCGATATCTATTGCTACGTTGCCATAATATTCCGCTAATTTTTCTCTCGATGGACCCAACGTGCGCTCGAATCAACCGTCGAGCGATTATTGTTCACCCTTCTTATTCAGACTCGGATATAAATGTATCCAAGTCCGTATTCGCTTTGTTAGACTCCCTACGAAGAGTGGCAGCCGCGCTCGGTAAATACGTAATATGAGGTCACGGTGTTAATACGTCACGTTGTTCGCCACAGGACGTAAGCATTAACAGGACTGTTTGTACACAGCTTCGTCTGCTGGTCATGCTCGGCAACAGGTTCGAGGCGCTAATCGATGCTCGCGAGTAGAACAACGGGCTCTTGCTTCGCGCGAGAAAATATTTTCGCGCGATCGCGAATCCTTTTTTCGTATAAATAATTAATCACTCGTCGTTACCCGACGTTCGCATGCTGCTTCACTCTGGGCCGCGACAGCGACGTCAGCAACGAATCAGAACCGCGAAATATTTAGCCGATCGAAAAGTTTGGACAGACGACAATTTCACAGCGATAAAATTTTACTCGTCGATCGCGAGAAAAGGATTGAAATGGAAAGCGATAATTAGTGGCACGTCAATGCACGACGTTATGAAATCACGGTAAGAAGAAGCGAGAAAAAGAAACGTTATATCGTACGGAATATGACAAAGCCTTATTTTCCGAGTCCGTGACGTGTCAAAGGAAAACGTGCCACGCGATGATTTCATCCATGAAACTCGAACGGTTTCTTTGATTCTCCGTACAATAACGTCTGGAAAACGCGTGGTCGTATAACTTCTTGTTTGCTTTAATGTACGCACATAATATTATATATACAACGTTTGTGTATATACAATCCAGTTTCATAAGTACTCATACCTTCTGCATCTATTCAAGAAAGTCTAAATTAAACAAATAAATAGGCTTGACGGTCTCAAATAAATTTTTCATTACGAATATATAAACGATTAAAACTTATTCGTGTACATATTCATAATGAAACGTTTATTTGGAAACGTCAAACCGTCATTTCATTTAGATCAGTCCTTTCAATTCTATGAAGTAGTCGCCTACAAGCCACAACAGGAATTTTTAGATTACCTAACATCAAGGAAAAGTTCTACGATATTCCTACGAAGAACATCGTTCGCTTCCACAGTGCGCGATTAAATTCTAACTATAACTATAACTTTCCTCCCACTCCAGAAGCATTCACTTACAGTCTCCCGCCAAAATATCCAACCCACGCACCTCTCCCTCGAATATCCTCTATTTGACGCGCGAAGAATGCCAGCCATACACCCGCCTCGCCTTCGGATTCCCCGTTTCGCGAGGTGCACGCTACAATTAAAGTCCTCCGACAGGTAACGGCTCGTTGTCGTCGATAAAAAAAAGTGAAAGAAAAAGGTAGCCAGCCATGTGACCAGCGTGGATGTCACGGTTACGATTTGCATAGGCCGATCCGGTTTCGAAAATACGCCAACCTTGGCCCGTGGTTGTATCGGGCCGCGGTCAAACGAAGAGAAAGAACGGAATCCGCTCCGACGATTCCTCTTTGCGATTACCTCTCGGGCGAAAGTTGGCCCGTGGCCCGCGCGATACCCGCGCAACTTTAATCCCGGAATCGCGTACGGTCCGATGGGAGATTCGTGCCAAGCAGGCTCGACGAAATTATACTCTGTTTCCACGTTGGTCGACACCGTCGTTCGCACGTGCAACGAACTGCATCGCGCACCGGCCGATATGGAATGCGTTCGAGCGTGCATCGAAAGTTGCATCGAGCTGCTCGACTTCGGACTCGATCGCGATGGAATGGCACGTGGACCACCGCGAACCAAACGATCGTACGACTTTTTAAATCAATTTTCCTTTCTAATGGAAATCGAGTCTCGACGATAGGAGCTCTCGGGGCGAAAAGATATTCCTAACGGCGAAAGGAATCGGGTATGGCACGGTTCGATTGGCTGGAATTTTTTAAGGGAATTTTATGTTTTTCTCTGACGCGCCGCGCGTGAACATTTAAAACTGACGGAGAAGGGTGACTAGTTGTATAGTCCTGTACAGCTGTATATGTGTAATTCAGAAGATGCATAGTTATATACAGGTGGATAGATGTTACCTAGGTACATACTACCATACTACGATAATTATGTACTTGAACAGGCGCGTTGTGTAACGCACTCGAGTTACAGCAGCATGATTGCACCGTAAATATACAGTTATATATTTCGACAACCATATAATTGAACATAAACGTAGATTAATAATCCAGTAATTGAATAGTTACTAAACTGTATCATTCTAGTGATACATAGAAAAAAAAAATATGAGTACATTCCGTAGACTTATCGAGCAACTAGGCCTGTTCGTCAAACAATGACCCAAAAATTAGTAATCGAAACGCTGACGAGGACCTTGGCGATTATTGGCGTCAACGGCACCTTTCCGCGACCATCAATTACCGATAACCGTCCCGGATACCGCGTTTCGAGCCCGTAGCCACTAATTTTTTGTTTATCTGACGAACATCTGTCGCGACGAGGATCGATTTTTAACGAGACAATTGCGGCGCCAATTAGGCCAAGAGTAATAAGCCGCGGCTACGGATTATGGGAAGCTGACGCGTGACACACGGTTAGTCATACGTCGCTAACGTGTGACTCCGCGATTATGCACGTGCAAAACAGCCGACTGCTAAGGTGTAGAGCATGTGCGGCGTGCAACGACGTACGTATCTGCATCAAACGCGTTCTTAGAATCAACGAACCTACTCGATGTGCACATGTGCCCTTACGTCGCGTTGATAAGAGATCACGTTTAGCGGAGTTCGCTATAAACAAAGACGATCCTAGGAATAAATTGTAAATAGAGTAAACGAGGGTTGTCGAGTTCGAAGACGTCGACATTGACGAAGACGGTCGTGGAAAGGAATTAATTGTTTATAGACCAGATGGTTGTTCTAGAAATCAGCTTAGGGCTTTTCAAGGTAACGCAAGAATCGAACCCAATCGACATGCACGTGTGTCTTTACGTCGTTTGGCACGTTGATAGAGTTCACGTCGATTCGAACGAATTGGTCGCGTAAAGGAATTAATACCAGACGGATTAATGGGTTGTTCTAGAAATCAGCATGGGCTTTTCAAGGTAATGCAAGAACCCTACTACTCGTGCACGTGTTTATACGACGGCTGTACCAGTTCTTCGATGAGCTAACGTTCAGACAGATACGGGCAGAAATTCAGAATGAAAGATTGAATTAACGATGGAAATTTAGAACTAAATGAACGACAAACAAATTTTTATTCGCTACTCATTCGATGACATTTTATTCATTTCTAAATCCTCTAGTAATTTTGAAGCAGCATGTATAAATTCCAATAAAAGCTATGAAATTAAAGTTGCAACGATACTTCTCGACATTTTGCAGATAATGCAACCAGGAAAATATTTCGAATTTTCAATAACGGAATTGTGTTATTTCTAAAATAAGAGAAATCTAACAAGAGGAAGCTTGGATGCAGGGAAAGAAGAATAAACAAGCAACGGAATGTGAATTTTTTAATTACAGAAAAGAAAGATTTCAATTTTCACAAATTTTTTACTCCGAAGCTGAGGTCCAACCATAACGGAATATCTAGAGAAAGTAATTACACATTCTGAACGATCGACTGCTATGCAACTTATTCCTTCTGTACATAAAGGGCAAGGATAATGCATCGACGTATAAGCATGAAAAATGTATACGAGAGTCAACTGTGGATCGATGGGATGTTTTAGAAATCGACGGATGGACTTTTTCAAGGCGTTCCTAGAACCAGCGAACCTGCTCGTTAGACACACGTGCTCCAATGTCGCGTGTCCAATTGCTGTGATAAGAAATTTACTTTTCAACCATGTAAAAGGTATAGCTCTGGGCAGTCTAAACGCGGATAACATACTTTGGATATCATTATCAATTACAAAATGCAGGATTAGCCGCGTCTATTTTTCGTACTCCGTATCAGCAAGAGTGTACCGCGAGTTATCACCTGTGATATAATCGCGGCTCGGTTGAACTTCATTCAGAGTCTCATTGATTGCGATATCAATATGGAAAAATCGAAGAGCAAAGAATCTATGTCTCCCTGTTGCGAAAAGTTTTGATAACGGCGAGCTTGCAAATACTGACTTAAGAGGAATCAAAGTGATAAACTCGTAATTGCGAGACGCCAATACGCGTGGGAATAAATTTAACCTTTCAATTGCGCTGGCCGAATTAACTCGTCTGTATTGATATATATATATATATATATATCGCGATAAAGCTTCCTATTAAAGCAGTACTTTATCGGAACATCATATTGTTATTGTAAACATCAGTAGGGTGGGATGCGATTGACCACAAAAATTAAATACAATTTTTGATGAAATAAACGCTAGTTAATTATTGCTTTAAGGCAGACTATTAATTCGCTACTGCAGCCAATCTTTGCGAACTATAAATATCAACTGGAGTGCTTGCAGGCACAATATTTTAACTGATAAAAATTCCGATATGATAGGCTTGTCTACACACACGACCCGTCATCCGCAAAGGGCTAACATTGCATTTTTCTCGATGGAACACTCCATCTTTCGCAATGTTCAAACAATAACAAAGATTGTTACACGCTTTTATATAAATTTCTCAATGCTTGCTATCAGTTATCAATCTCGTAGCGATTTACAATTTTCTTCGAAAGGAAAATTAATACTCCCAGTGAAACGGAAAACGGAGCAGTCTTGATATCCTCGAGAAATCTTTGAGGGACACGGTGCTATAGTACTTACAGAGATGGACGAAATTTTATTCGAATAACAAATTATAAATAAAAACTAGTACAAGCATACAATGCACACGACACAAGCTCTCGTTACTTGAACGTGGAACACTAACTCGAGAAGCAGTTCAGATTGTAAATATTATTGTTCAAATGGTAGAAAGTAGTCGATCTTTCAAATAAAAAAAAATTAATTCCAAGTCGTACACACCGGCTCCTTAAATATCATCAAGGAGACACTTGCGATCCAACCGTGCTTACCTTTTGCTCGTCATTCGACATTTGTATATCCGAACAAGTATTTCGCCCATCTGATTGCTTCGTCTATCACATCACCAGCACTCGAATAAAATCAGAATTATATTCAAACCTGAAGACTAACCGTGGAGCGGCTCGAGGTCCACCAGATACAACTATCCTTCGGAGGCGAGCCTCGAGCTCTGACACCTGCTCCTCTCGTACCTTTCTCCCTCTTCACGAAACTTAATCACGCCGCACACGCACACGAGGTCCGTAAACAATGTCGCCGAATCTCGATGCACCGGTCGCGAGGGGCGGCACAGCTGGTACGCGTGAACGACCATACGAGAAGAGGAAAGAAAACTTAAATAAAAAAAAATAAATAAATAAATAAAAAAAGAGGATTGAAAAAAGTGAAAGGAGTCACGCGACTTCTCAACGACGAGAATGGTTCCCTGTCATCGAACCGCGCGGCTCGCCGTCCCGACAACGACTGACTCCCGCGGCAAACACGCAATTCGGCCGAGCCGGCTGAATGCAATCGAACTAACCACGCTCTTACGACGGCCACTAGCTTCCATTATCACCGTGGGCCGCACAGTGACGTAAATCTTCGGTGTCCGTCGAGACCTACGAGCGTCGCGGTTTTTGCGTACGCGTGCTTGCGTAAATAAACGTGTAGTCGAATCGCTCGAATAGTTCGAAAGAAACGCGCGTAGATAGAAAGATATTGCACAGATCGAACGACGACTCGTAGGTGGAAATGTTTGATAACTGGGAACGAAATTGCGATGGACCAACGAATATTAGAATGGATCCTTGAAAATATTAAAAGAGGTTTTTAGAAATTATAACTTGAAAGTATTCGGATATTTTCTTGTGAATGGTTACATGGTTCGATTATTGTAACTATTGTGCAATTTTATAGCGGAATAACTGAATGGTCGTACACGTACAACTATGCAGTTCGATAACTTATGGCTGAAGAGTTAAATAGTATAGATGATATAGTTTATACAACCATATAGATGTATATACATATAGTTGCGTAACCATATTGTTGGCTATATGTATATTCATCTAAATGTAAAGTTGTATAGTTGTGCATTCGTATAATTACATATGTAGTTAGATTTATAATCACGTAGTGTCACAATTCGTTTATTTCCTCCCTTAATAAACGTATAGTTCCACAGCGCGATAATTTTGAAACCGAATAGATGTACAGTTGTACAATTGGCCAATATACATACACTACATAATTCACAACTGAAATGAACAAGTATCGTGGTTCGTTGAAACGAGTCGCGACTGGAACAAACTTCGAGCTGGACGAATGTTTCGATTACTAGGTGCACTGTGATCGTGTTAAACACGGATGGCGGAACTTTTTTGTATATTTAGAAAAGCATTGTCGGAACGAGGGACGAGCCGGAGCGAAATGTGCAATTAAGACCAGGGCTCTCTTCGACTGCTTCGGGATCGCTGAACTTTGAATTACGAACGTTCCACGTAATATGAAATGCTCTTGCTAGCATTATTTTAAAACTTGGTAATTATAGCAACCCGCAATTTCCTACTGCCATTATACATCTGTTTATTACTACTGTGCGTTGTATATTTTAATTAAAACGTAATAGCACGTTCTGTGTTAGTTTATTTATAATTGGCTGCAATGTTAACAGCGGGTGATTATTTTTCATTTTTCCTTTTCTATATAATGAATTTCGTTACGTCGCCGATATTCTTGAAATAAGACACGGAAGATTAAACACAGACAGATTGTTTAGACTCTCGGTCTAAACAATCGACCAGAATTTCGACGAGTACGTCAGAGGTCCCAGTATAGGTGTGAAAATTTGTTCTTTATGGTAAGCGTGCCAATTTTTATACCAATGAATTGTAAACTACTTCAAGACATATCTCTGCGACAGTTTCGTTTGTATTTTATACAGCCTTGTGAAATTTCATGCTTGGCAATAAGCATGAGATTCTGTTCCTCGGTTCACTAGTTACGACACTGGCGTCTCTCGCGCGGATAAAGTCGATCCATGACATTACCATCTGAAGGACCAACGTCTTGCACGATCGATAAACTCGATTTCTCCAGTGAAATTTAATACTATCGCGCACACGTACTCAAACTGCTGACTACAGTGGCATATCAATGAAACGCGTAGATAGTAATTTTTCCGACCATTGAAATTTTATTTCCACCTTACATTAATGTACATTAATTTCCACCTTAACATAGTTATTCCCATTTATATCTACATGCCTATTATAAAATGAAATAAAATGAAATCTATTACTATAGAAGCGTTTGACTAATCAGGATACATTTAACCCCAATTTTTCCCATTTCCGTTTACACGATACGCGATACGACATTCGTCATCGATTCCCGGGACGAAAACGATATCGTTTTTTCATTTTTGTTCTCGGTATGTTTTTACAGCTCTAGATTAACTCGAATTATAGGAGCTCCGATCTCCAATCAGAAATAAATGCGTTTGCGCAAATCGTTCACTTCCCCGTCTTGTTTATTGATAAAAATTTGTAAAGTGCGTCAGAGAGGAAATACGATCGGATGACGTACGATTCGATGTAACGGGAATAAAAGCGTGCGTCAATTATTATTAAAGGACATGCCTCCCATGTCGTTTAACATTAAATGCCAGCGCAATCGTGAGCTGAGCGATTTAAAATAAGCCGGCATATTTACTTCGAACATTCCGAATCGTTTTGAAAAAATTTATCACACGTTTAGAGAGACTCGTACTATTTCCATGTAAAAATTCTGTTACGATACACGGTGGTCCAAAAGAGATGGTTAATCATTGGTTCAGAAATCATTTATTTACGAGTTGCAGGAGATTTTAGTTAGAATGTTTTCTGTTTTGCAGCACGTTGGAGTAAACAAGATTGCACAGCGACCGTCATACGCGTTGGAAAAACTCGGACCTTTCACTTCTTTCCGCAACAGTGTCGAATTTCTTGTTTTAATTGCCTAAGTACCGCGCGAACTAGTAAACCAGAAGTATCTAAATAAGAAGATAAAAGCAACCGAGACATAAATAGATCAGCTAGAATTGAAAGTAGTTCGAATAACATTTTGATTCGTTTTAATGAGAAGAACCTCAACAATTTATTCATAATTCTGTATTATTTCAAGGATTCTTCCGAAATAATTACGATAATATAGATAAAATATTTTTTGTAATGCCTAGTCGAAGCGTCTATAAGAAATATAAACAGTGGTTGGGACAACTCCCGGAACTTTGATCGAGGTGGATTAAATAAAATGCTCGATTCGACCGAAAATTAATTTATTATTATTCCAGTTTCTCTTAAGCGCCGTTTTCCACGATTCGCATCGCATGTCGATAACGCCGTAATCATCGGGACGATTACCACGAGCGCAGAAGAATTTGCGCGTGTCTCTGCGTGCGCGAGCGGTCGCCTTCGAACTGCTGGATTTCGTTTCGGTCACGCTTTCTACACGAATCCTGGAAACTCGACACTGTCTCCCACGGCTACACGTAATCGGGACGTTATCTAGATACGGATAAAAACCGTGTACCTTCAAGAAGGATGGCCAATTTCCTTGGACACGTACTAGAGTCAGCAAACATTTGCTCGACGATAAGGTGATCCGACAATAAAATTCGGTCAGGTTTACTTGCCCTTCAATTTCTATTTTCCTAAGGATTCGATGCTGGGAGTTCAAAATTGCTTTTGGGCATTTGGAGCAGGCCATGAAATGTAGAACTGGGATTTTGTTATTTAATCTCAAATTTTGTGAATGTATCGTTTGGCTCCGGTGTAATTTTTACTCGATAACTTTTAAGTCGTAGGTTTTGATAAATCGAGCTAGTCTATATCTGCGTTATCAGTCACCAAAGGTCGGCAACTAATTTAATCAATGCTGGATACAAACGAACAACGATCAATTTAATAGCCAATCTTCGTTAACTATCGACTATCCATTAATTCGTCGTTTGAGTGACTACTTTTATTCGTGACTCGCAATCGTTCGATTAAAATTTGCCAGACACCGATAGAGATTGATTCTAGAAACTAGACCGACGTGTAATTCCTTTCTAAACGGAGACAGAGAAAACTGGCACAAGAAAATGTTGTACGGTTTGACGAGGTCTGTTTTCCAACAACCGTATTTCCTTGTGTCGATACACCTTCCAGATGCGACACCAATTCGTCAATATTATATATATTATCATTCCTACCCTCTGTAATAATTTATTTAGACACTGTTATTTATCTTAACAAATTATTGGGTTGTCCGGAAAGTTTATGGCTATTTTTAAGAAAAATTCAAAAGCATATTCAAATTTTGATTTATATTTATTGAATTATATACGTACCATTTTGTTCCACAACTTTTCCACCTGTTAAGGAATGTACACATATTACTTGTTTTCAACCATTCCGATATATTCAGACTACTACTAATATTCAGACTAGCCTACTAAAAATCGGCATGAACTTTCCAGACAGCCCAATATTTCAAGTTCGATACTTGAGAAATTCGTTCATTCGCAATTTTATCCATCGATTGCACCTCGCAACATTTACAATAATTTTAAAAGTAGGAATACACTCCTGGATCTAAATAAATAAAAATAACGAGCAAATAAAAAGTGCCTTGTTACACAAGAAAATTCCACGAAATTTCGCGTTTACGACTTTACTGATTGTACGACACTGGACAGGTGTAAATCTTTCGTGGCGGAGCCGCCTTCGTGACGATAATAAAGTATTAAAAAGCGAAGAAAAGACGCGCTGGGATACTGCTCGAGAGTATCTACCCCCGGAGAACCACCCTCGAGGAAGCCAGCTACTATAACGTCGAGATGTTTGCCCGTCTCCTCTGCACAATGGTCCTAGCGGAGAGATGGGGCGTAATTTCATTCCCCATAAAGCGCCCTGAGTCATCAAATTCGCCCTACGCTGTACCGAAGGGTGACAGGATCATGCGAGGGTGGCTCGAGTACAACATTCCAGCCTCTTTCTAACACCAGACCGTGAAACGACGTCTACGGAGATTTTTACGCGGACGTATTATTACGATTACGCAATCTGTACTTTCTTTTACGATTATGTGTTCCCCTTACGAAGCAAGCGTCGTTCGCCATGTCTCGAAGCGGAAATTAGACTCGATGAACAACCAAATTGGGCGACGTCATTATTTTCCTAATTCCTCGATTAAACTAAAATGATAAAAACGATATCGAAACAGTTCTCGCGACAACGATGAAAACTTCGCGTCAATTTATACCGTTGAATTAACTTACTTCCAATCACATTTGTCTCCTCCATCGGTCGATCATCAGCTACGCGTGCTCTGAAAGAGCCGCAGGTGCGTCAAGACCAGCTTCCGTTGAAAAGAATGCCTTTAGAACGCATAGAAATGCATGAAAAGCGTCGCAGACACGGTGCAGTTCAGCAAGATGCACGTGACACGAACTTGAACGACTCGTAAACCGCGCTGAATCGATAAACAATTCCAACCGCTGGGCGAACAGTTATATTTCACTCGTTATCAGCGAACAGCTACCGGAACCACGCCGCTCGGCGCGATAAACGCGCGGTTGTGACGTCGTCGCTGCCGTGACGTGATCGGGCAACTACGTCATCGTCTCGCCACTCGACTCTTTATCTACAGTCGCGTACTGCACTACCGACCGAGATACAAATTGACTCATGGCGGGAGCACGGCATCGATGAGCGACGAATATTCAGCGGGTTGAAGAGGCACTTGTCTGCTTTACAAATG